GACAAATTAAGACAGAAACAAGGTAATATCATTATTATAAACATAAATAAAAAACCATATAATACCAATAAAAGGGCTAACAATAAAAACTGACCCGATGCCTTAAGTAATTAAAGAATCCAGAAGTGCTTGATCAATTGCAGCTAGAAGAACCAGTTGGTGAATAGAGCTACCATCACTTATTTTCAATGTTTAGCATTTCAAGTCCTCATACAGAAAATGCATCCTTTGCCCCAGAGCATCATAATATAGCACACTGTAATGATTTAGAATTTCCCCTCATCATATCATACTCAGTGATACCGTGGTTGCTGCTGCTGAATAAGCATTTATTAAGGAATAAAAACTCAAAATTCATAGATACAAATGTACTTTATTTTCAGAAGTACTGAACTCTTTTCAGATGAATTCATGTTAATCCAACCAAAAACTAATATCCCTAGATTATTAAAAAATAACTGCATGCTACACATTTTGCTGGAAACAGCAAAACCTGTGGTTATGAAATCAGCGTGGAATAACATTTTTGTGACTTATTGAAGAAATTGGGCCCTGTGCTCAAAGTGCTGGTTATTAAATATTGTATCTTTTCAAAAAATCAGCATGCTAAACACATTGTTATATTATAGATACAAGTTTTAAGAGATAGAAGTGAAGATAAACTTTAGTAGCGAATTAAATGTCTTGCTAAGGAAGGCTACTTTTGATGAGCTGATTTTTCTAAAGTATTTTTAAAAGGTTAATGGAAAAGAAGTTAACCTTCAAAACAAGTTGTAAGGCTTCTTCTCTGGATGTGTGGTTTATGTTGACCTGGAATACAGATTAAACCACAATATCACCCAAGAAAAAATCAGCTATTTTCCTATATAAATAAATGCCTACAAAGGCATATTTTGTCAGTGTTTAAATTTAATTTCAATTTGATTCTGTTCAAAACAAGAACAAGGGCTGTCCATTGGGAAAAGGAAGAACCTGAGGGTTATGTCAGGACGGCTTCTAATTGCATGTCAATTGATAAACAGAAATCCACCTCCCCAAAGAAAGAAAATCAGCATTTGTAAAAGTCAGCATTTCAAATATATGGTTGGTGTTGTGACTACAGTCTATTTTAAAGTTCTTAAGCTTTTTACATGTGACCAACAGGGAAAAAAAATGTTGCTATTTATAAGAGGGTGTTCTGAGAAGAGCAGTTTTTGCTTACATTACTTCATTTCAAAAGATTTGCTAGGACAATCAGATTGGCTCAAGCTGAAACAGCCTAATTATTAATAAAAACTGCCTCAGGCTTTAAGAGACTTTGAGCTTTAAAAATCGATGATGCTATAGTATTTGCATCCTTAAAAAGACAGCTAGAAAACAAACTAAACAAATTTTAAAAATCCATTCTTCGACACTATTTCAAATGATTTCCATTCTTCATTTAGATGCCTGTTTAGGAAGCACATGCTGCCAACTCTGTCGATACTGGTAAGTGGCGAATGGACATAGGCCAAAACAATTAGGATATATTGTGAAAAAAAAGTCAGATAAAAGTAATTCACACATGTAGCTATTTATATATGCCATTTTAAAATAATAGGGGGCAGAAGAAAAATAAAAGCAAACCTAGAGAAGTAATTTTTTGTGGGCTCTTGGATCATGCTGCTGTAACAGACAAGTTTATTATCTGCTTTAATTGTGCCTGTTACACTTTTGTCTTATCCCTGGAGGGGAAGATTATATTGCAGTGTGTACTCATGATTAGGGTGCAATCATAAAACCCTAAGCACATGTATAAACCAACAGAACTTTCTTTACTTATGGCAAACACAGGGGAGTGATAGATACATGAAGAGTAGCCTTCACCTTTAACAGGGGGTTCTCAACCAGGGGCTGGACCAGAAAGGTGAGAGAAGGCCTTCCCATTTGCTATAACTCTTGTGAAGACATTCCTTGCTATAAACCAGACATCCTTAGAAAATTCAATAGAAAGGAAAGGTCAAAAGTGGCTCTCTTTTATTCATCTCATTTATTCATTCGTTCTTCTAATTATTTCACAAATCTTTTTTTTTTTTCCAAAAAAACTACACAGTAACAAGGAAACTGCTAGAAACTGGAAATATATGTCTTTCAACTACTTTGGAATTAAAGTAACAAAAATTAAAGTGATGAGTTAAGAGGTAATGATGAGTTGGCCATGGTATCAAATTTTAGGGAGTCTATAGGGAGGAAGAACACCTAGATAATGAAGTGCAGATAGAGGTGGAGCATCTCTGGAGCCAAACAATAAGCTTGGCAGATAATATTTGATAGAATATATTGGAAATAAAGCACAGTTGTTATAAAAATTCAATTAATGAAAGCTCAGTTTCAAAATTCAAATTGAGT